ACTCTGCACCCCATCAGCTTCCACAATCCGCTGCTTTCCGGACACAACCACATACCTTTTTGGGTCCTCTGCATATATATAGTAGGCCACTTGCGCGACATTGGTTGCTAGTACCCACGGGTCATCTTTGTAGCTGATACTTTTGAGGTCCACGGTGGTTAGCCCATAACTGTCCACTACAACCGCATTCGGTTTGACCCACTGGCAACGGAAGACGGTTATGCGTAGGTTTTGGCCGTAGTCAAGTTCCCATATTTCTTCGACTTGCCCATAGTATTGCCTCCTCTGGCCCGTGGACTCTTCTTCGCCCTCGTATCGAACACCGCAGTTCTGTGCCGAGCTCTTCTTGTCCTTGTCTTTCGTGTGGAACCTGTAGCCCTGGACGTCATACCCTTGCCACGTAGTGATTTGGCTGGATGGGCCTAACACAAGCCTCTTAACGGTCTCCGTATCTTCATCAGGGCATCCTTCAAGGGGTATGTGTTGCTCTTTGAGCCACTCTATGAAATTGCTCTTGTGATGGTTCTGGACCCATGCCTCCGTGCGCTGCCCGTCATTAGCGGTGTGGATCTCTTCCAGGTGCTTTTCAATGTATTTCTCCATGCTCACTAACTGATGAAGGATGCTGTAATGAGCTTCTTGCACCGTTCGGTTTGCCACATCGGTGCGTACTTTTCGGCCTGTGCACCCCATCCCTGAGGTTTTGCCTTCGTGGTGATGGATAGGCAGCCCAATCACCCTCCCATCTCTTATGTACCTCATACACCAGTTCACGGCCTCCTCCGTTGTGTATGTCTCGATCATAGAGCCCTCCGGGTAAGCGCGGTTATGGACGTATCTGTTGAGGGTGGACATGAACCGCTCGTACGTCCACATCTGGTGTAGGTACATGGGGCCCAGTTGATGGATCTGATCGACCATATGCATCATTAGGTGTGGCATAATATCAAAGTAAGATGGTGGAAAGCATATCTCGAGCTGGCAAAGGGTCTCCGCGATGAACTCCTTCAGGGCAGGCAGCTCAGCCTTATCAATGACCTTCTGGGTGATGCGGTTAAAGAAGTATGACATCTGTGTGATGACCATCTTCACGTACTCTGGATGGATAGCCCTAATCGCAATTGGTAGGAACATCGTCAGCATGACATGGCAGTCGTGTGAGTTGTAGCCGGTCATTATGAGGTCTTTCATGGAGACCAGGCTCTTGATGTTGGAAGAGAAACCAGTCGGCACCTTGATACCCCTAAGCAACTTAAGAAAAGCCGTCCTCTCATCTTGCGTTAGGTTCCAGGCCGCACCCGGGATATCGACTTTACCGTTCTGAGGCGGTCCCGGGTGAAGGTCCGGCCTGATGCCCAAATTGACAAGATCCGTCTTTGACTTGATACCATCCTTTGTCTTGCCCTTGATGTCCAGCAGGACACCGATCGTGCTTTCGAAGACATTTTTCTCCAGGTGCATGCAGTCGATGGCATGGGGTGTATTCAGTGTTTTCCAATACGACAGGTACTTGAAGAAAATTGACTTCTTCTTGAAAGGAACGGCGATGGGGACTTCCTCCGTCTGGTCCCGCTTTCACTTTCTTGTCTGCTTGGGCCCCTCTTCAGGCGGCTTCTTCTTCTTTCCAAACTCCACCTGATCCATGTCCTTGACCATCTCATACACCTTTGTCCCCCAACTAGTCTGTGTCGGTTGATCATGCTGCGGCTCGTCCTGATTGTCAAAGTATTTGTTCATAATACTTCTTCTATACCTGTGATTTTTGGTGAGGAACCGTCTGTGCCTCATGTACACCATCTTATTGGATCCCTTAAGGTATGTGTAGCAGGTCCCGTCGATGCAAATTACGCAGCCGGTCTTCCCTTTGATCTGCCCTGACAGTGAGAAGAGACCGGGGTAATCGGTGATGGTGACAAAGATGATTGCTTTTAGTGTGAACTTCTCCTTGCGGGATGCATCCACCATCTAGACCCCAACATCAAATAGTATCTTCATTTCCTCCATGAACGGCTCCAGGAACACATCTATATCGTTGCCGGGCTGCTTCGGTCCGGAGATAAGCATGGTCAGCATAAGGTACCTACGCTTCTGACATAGATGGGGAGGTAGGTTGTACATGGTGAGCACGACGGGCCAAGTGCTATGCGAGCTGCTAAGCTCACCGAACGGGTTCATCCCGTCGGTACTCAGCGCGAACCTAACATGCCTGGGCTCCTTCCCAAACTCCGGGTAGGCCTCGTCGAAATCCTTCCACTGCTTGCCATCGGATGGGTGCCGTAGCTTGCCATCGTCTTTTAGGCGGTCAACTGATGCATGCCAGGACATGAGCTTGGCATCGTCCGGGTTCCCGAATATTGCACACAGGCGATCGGTCACGGGCAGGTACCACACCGATAGTGTTGGACTTTTCCTGTGCGTGTAACCCTCTTCTTCATCGTCCTGCTGAGCCGAGATCTGTTTGGCCGCACTGCTCTTCTTTGCCCCCTTCTTGTTCTTCTTCCGACCACCCCGCAAGCCTCCCTCGTCTTCTGCATCCACACGACAACCAGCATTTTTCTTGTACCGACTAAAGCCGCAGTGCGGACAACTCGTCAAATTCTCATACTCATTGCCCCGATACAGGATGCAGTGGTTAGGGCATGCATCAAACTTTCTAAGCTTCATCGCCACTGGCCGGATCAGCTTCTTGGCCCGATAAGTATTGGCGGACACCTTGTTAGCCGTTGGGTACGTGGTGGCAAGGTAGCTTAACAACTCATTGAAGCTAGTGTCAGACCAACCATGACGAGCCTTCAACATCAACAAATGGAGGTTAAAATGGAGCGCCGTGCACTCCTTCGGACAATCGCCGCCGTCCTTATAGAGAGGATCAACTGCCGCCTGCTTCAACTCTCTGAAATTCTCCAACCACTTTGGGCAACCCAACACAACGTCGTCTTCATCGAAGTGTTTGACTAGATCTTCAACAAGCTGCACATCCTCGGGTTGGCTCACAGTATCCTGACCATCCCCACCGTCGCCGGCTTCGTCGGCCATGTCTTGCATTAGATCATCCACCGTGATGTAATCACGACAATTGTTGTCACTGTCGGCTAGCGCAGCTGCTGCTGAAGATGATGAGGAGCCGGGTGCTCCTAAAGGATCTTTATTCATCGGTGGTGCTGTCGTCGTCGGCGTCGAAGAGCTCACTCCAGATGCACCGCCACTCGCACCAACTCTTTCGCTGTGAAATGTCCAAACTGTGTAGCCCTCGATGAAACCATACATGATCAAATGAGTTTGCACCTCACTGTCTCGGTGGGCTTTCAGGTTCTTGCAACGAGAACATGGACATATGGTTGTCATCCGCTTCAGTCTCTCACGGTGAGCTTTACCAGCAGCAATAAACTTCCTTAATTCAAAGAGGTACCGCGGATCATTCACTCTATCGATTCGGTACATCCATTCCGACCTATTCATCATACCTGCGAACATTATCTGTCACAATCAACATTAAATAAAGAAGAATTAGAGAAATTGATGATTTTTACGTCCAAAATCATGAAAAAGAGAGGAAATGACGATGTGAAAGATGAAGCATGCATCTATGATGAATCTAAAGTTAAAGAAATACATAACATCATTTTTTTCCATTAAAATTGATATAGGTCTAGATCTAGATCTAGAGAGAACTCTAGGTGATGGAAATAGAGAGAGAGGATGGAAGGAGAGAGGGAGAGCCTTTATGAACTTCTTATGATGTCCTCCTCCCTCAAATCCAAGCCCTTCAACTCAAATCAAAATTTTCCTCAAATTTTAGGGCAAAGCCTTCCCCCATGAGTTTCAGAGAGGAAGACCCGTGGAGAAGATGAAGGGGTGGTGCTGTGTATTTGTACAGGCTTTACCGCAGCGGGCAAGATAAAGCGCCTGCCTCGGTAAATCAACTCTTTACCGCGGCGGGCAGTTTAAAGAGCCCGCCACGGTAAATCGTATTAACCGCGGCGGGCGATTCATACCGTCCGCCGCGGTAAATAACGATTTCCTGCGGCGGGCAAGTAAGGTGGCCCGCTGCGGTAAACCATTTTCCCGCAAGCGGGCGACCGGTTAACCGTGGCGGGCAAAAGAGGTGCCCGCCACGGAGCCCATTTTGGTCACGCTGCGCAAAATGATTCATGTAGTAGTGTTCGGCCATATTCTATCATTCATCCATTTCTCTTCAGCCTGTTCGGGAGGCCGTATCGTATCGTGGATTATTTACTGCTGGCTGGTTTGGTGTAAAAGAAAAACACTGTTCCCGACTGGAAATTTACGATCGTTTACGAGCAAGCGAACAGGCTGCTTATTGATACTGTTTATTATTCATCTTTTGATGTTTCTTAGTCTTAGAAAGAAATTTTATCTTCTAGTTCTTTCTTAGTCTAAGACAGGGCTGGGTGAGATCAAGAGGAAAAAATTACTTTGCTTCGTTTGTTTTATATCCGTATACTAATGATCAACAATTATCCCAGCCCGTTTGGTTTGAGCCAGGAAGTTGTAAGCGCGCGGTGTAATCAAGAAGCAGCACTATGGGTTACAGTTTAGGATAAACGGGATTTTGTTTGGTTGGCATCCACACGCGTACCTCTCCTTAGTCCCTTGCGTGATCGGATAACAACAGGCCAAGAGGGGATGAGCGGTCTCGGCTTTGAACTAGGCCGTATCAGGACTCCGGTATCGACTCCGGGCCAGCCAAACCAAACACGAGTAACGCGGTCTGATAGCAGCGTGAACGGTTCCAGGTTCAAAACACACGGAACCAAACACCACTATATTCATGACATCCAATAGAAGAATTTTTCACCATTCCGACTCCGGCCAGTTTTATTCATCATACTTTATAAAGCACAAGTACATGTGAGATAGCTAAAATACAGTCGTGCGTGGTGCATCGTTCCATCATAGAGTTGTACTATCCCGATACGTTTTGGTACTGTATGTATGCCGTATACAATGGAGGACGTACGCATGATCCGAGGCAGCCATCAGTGACGTGGTTTCTCTCCGTTCAATTGGGGAAGCGGTGCCTCAGGGTAGGAGGCACCAGGCCCGCCACCGCGACGGGGAAAGGGACGGTAGGGACGTCCACGAACTGGGCACTTCCCCGTGGGGCATGCAGGATGGTCAGGCTGCAAAGCGCCGCTGCCAATACCTAACCATGGAAAAATTTGGAAATCATGTCATCAAATGCGTAGTTTCTCATCAGTTAGTATGTAGGAGTACACAACCTATATATATATATATATATATATATATATATATATATATATATATATATATATATATATATATATATATATATATATATATATATATATATATATATAATATAAAACTGAGAGCAGTTTAGAATAGCCAACCAACGCCGCGGGCTCCGGTGGGCAAGATCGCCGCGGAGACGACGAACAGTGCGAGCACGAGGAGACGGGCGGTTTTGGTGATGGACGCCATGGCACTTTGGCTGGTTAGCTAGCTAGCTGCTTGGCCTTGGCCCTCGGGTTTCCCGCGAGTTGGAGTATATGCTTTGCTTGCGCTGAAGCTCTGTGTCCTGGAGGTCATATTTATAGGCATCATATATCACACGGCCGCATAAGAAAAACAAAGGCATTTTTGTTGCAGCTAGCGCGAGGAGCCAGCGATTTCCCTTTATGTTTTCTCTTTTCTGTTTGTTTTGTTTGCTTGGTTTCGAAAGCAGACCCAATAATTTGAGTTGACGGCCAGCAAGCCAGTTGGTTGGCAACTTTCCTCTGATATGAAAGACGACCGCACCGGTGAATGCAAGCGCACTGCCAGCGTAGGTCTCCGGTTAATCAAAATAAGCCATGGCTGAACCGTGCGAGACTCGCAAAGGAAACCCAGTATCGGATCGATTTGACCAAGGAAGCATATACATGGGATCTTCTACGGAATCAATTTCTATCTCTCATCCGATAAATTTAAGACAGACTTATATTTAAACTTTAGAAAGGTGTTGAATATCAAATTCCAAGCTAAATTGGTTGATGTAATTTTCGACTGGGTGGCACTAGAACCCTCGAGACCACGCCGAACAGGATGGGGTGATGCGGCGCGCCGAGAGAAGACAGGGGAGAAAAGAGAATTTTTTTCCCATTGACATTTGGGTCCCACATGTAAAGGTGATGTAATTTTCACAATATGCTTCATCACACTTCCCCTAGAATTTGAGATCTTATATATATATACTATATACCTATAGAGATGGAGGCCAGTAGCAATCGTTTATATAAAGCTGCATCTACATTGAGCCACGTCATCTGAATTTTACAGCTGTTAGATCATGTGGCCTTCATTTCATCCTACGGTCCGTTTGCGAAGGCATTCACTACTCGTCTCTATCGTCACGTGGGTACTTCGACTACGCAACTGAAACATGTCACTCGAGGAGTTCTCCTGACCCGACGTCTTCCAAAAACTGATCTCCCACCCATGTGTATTAAATGCTAGGCATGCAACTGTAGAGTCTGCATGCGATGAGAGGGTTGAGAGTGGTTTACACAAGTTAATCCTCCCACCCACAACATCCTCATGTCCTTCTAAGCTTCTCTAGGGAGGTCAGTTCATTGCCATCATGAAGACAGGCCTCCAATTAAGTAATCTCACGGACAAGAGAGCCTTCATGTAGCGGTGCATCTGCTAATTGGTTGTTAGGCACTGCCACACGAACAATTGTTGCATCCATGTCCTACCCAAACACTGCCACATGCGAAGATATTCATACATGTGGTGTTCCATTGCAGTTGGAATACAGGTACTACAAGATGATGCTCTTAAAGAATCTAGCAGCTATACTACATATTATGCGAGATATTCATGCATGCGGTGTTCCATCGGAGTTGGAATACAGGTACTGCAAGATGAGGCTCTTAAAGAATCTAGGAACCACTAGATATTATGCAAGATATTCATGCATGTGGTGTTCCATCGCAGTTGGAACCGGTACTATAATATGAGGCTCTTAAAGAATCTACGAACTACTAAATATTGCTTTTCCTATGGTAAGGTTTATATCACTCTAGCCTGGCTCTAGGTACACATAGTCTACTTTATTTGATCAGTTTTCTCAAACATGTGCCTGGGTGGGGTTCTTATCATTGACGGTGTACATCCGATGGAATTTAGTAGGTATACAAATATCTAAAATAAGACATCATATTTTAATATCTATTTTGAGTTTCATTTTTCTATATGCCCTCTTCGAGTTTTACTAACTTTCCTCTATAGAGAATTCATTTAAAGTTATTGTCTAAATTCCCGTAGCAACGTATGGGTAATCACCTAGTTTTCTTAGTTCTCTTATATAGGGGATTGAGTTTTCTCGACCTGGTGAAGTTGTAACATAGGCGGGCTTTTGAGAGTATCATCACTATAAACTGACTTACTCTTAGTTTAAGAGGTCCACCTCTACAGTTAATTATATCAAATAATTCATTTTTTTTGCATATGAAGTCTTATGAAGATGAACTATATATCAAAATTATAGAGCTCAACGAGATCTATAACTACGTAGTTGAAATTTTTGATTTGAAATTATTTAGAGTCTCTAAAGTCGATATAAGTTCTTAGATATTGAAATTCAAAATTTAGAATTTGCGGACCACCTCAAATGTTTTTTATGAAGGACCACCTCAAATGTTGACATGTTCTATACAAATTTTCTAGTTATCAACATGATCAATAACTTTGTAGTTGATAAATTTTTTTATTTCAAGTAATTTTGAATCCTAAATATTCATTTTATGCTCTAAGATTTCTTAATTCAGAATTTTCAATTGAATCGAGATGTTGACATGATCTATGCCAAAGTTATAGTTCTCAACACGATTAATAACCTTGTAGTTTACAAGTTTTTTATTTGAAAATATTTATTCTTGAATATTTAATTTGAAATTATTAGATATTGAGATTAAAATTTCCAAAAAATTTAAATGATATTAGATAGAGACAATCCCTATATCAAAATTGTAGTCCTTGATGAGATCTAAAACCTTTTAGTCCAAACTTTTTTATTTGAAATCGTTTGATGGTTGAAATATTCAATATATGATTCTTAAATATTAATATAAAAGGATATCATATCACCATATTCCTACTACTTACAAGTTACGGGTGGGTGTTTAGTGCAATGCTACGAAGAGGACATGTGAGGCTCATGGCCTCAAATCGCTAGGAAGGCGCACATATTTGTATTTGGCTTTGAAAAATCATGTGCTGCCTAACTAGGCGGTATGTCCTAGTTTTTTTATTCAGAAATGGTTTGCTATTTTTGTTCAGTGTTCTGAAAATCAGGTCATCTTGATCCATAAACCTATTTGGCTCTATTTATAGAGACAGTCAACAATCAGGCCGCTGGTATTTGCAAATAAAAGATGGCCATCTCGAAAAACTCTTTATCTATCCCTTGAATCCCCGCTATATTTTTTGCTGCTGAAAGTTTATTACTATCTTGGAGGCTGTATTAATAGTTGTAGGGAACGAAACGGAAAAATAATGGGCTTGCAATCTCATCTCTAACCGTTTACCATCTTTTTGTCTCGAAAAAAAAAATGGTCACTTAGCTTCAATGGACGGTTTGATTGATCATGGATGATGATGCAGACGTCAAGTCGTGACGAGCAGGAAAGTTGGTAGTCACCAAGGGTCGTGCGCTGGAGTTCTCTTTTCTTTTTGACAGAGATAGGCCACGACCGGTCGCATGCTCAGGCTCTTCCTCCCCGCGCCGTACGCCCTTCTTCCTCTCCCACCCCCGCCTCCTTCACAGCCGCCCCTGGCCAGCGGCAACCTCACTGCCGGTCGTGCCACCCACCTCCCGCCCCCACCGCTCCGCCCCGCCCCATCCTCCCCTAACCTCACGAAGCTCATCAAGTCGTGCTCGTCCTGCCCTCCTCCTCCCCGACACCACCACCGGCGGCCAGTGGCGAGCCGCCTCATCGCGCCACCCGCAACCCGCCCCGCGCCCCTCGCCGTTCTCATCCTCGCCCTACCCCCGCCCCTGCCCCACCACCGGTGGCCGGTGGCCAGCCACCTCACCACGCCACCCGCAAGCCGTCCCGCCCTTGACCCCGCCCACCCTAACCACAGCAACTCGCCGGCGAGCACCACCGTGCGCCCCTGCTGCCAACCCCGCCCAACCGGTTGTCCCCTGCCACCTCGCTCGCCGCCCTTCAACCCGCTACCACTGCCGTGTCGCATCCGCCTCCCCCCCGAACCCTCTTCTAGAGCCGTCGGAGATGAGTTTCCCTAACCCGTCTGAACCCTAACCCTAACTCCGCCACCGTCTTCTTCCGCTCCGGCTGGACGCGAGCGCGGGTGCGGGCGCGTGGGAGAGGGAGAGCGGGGTTGCGTGGGAGAGGGAGAGAAGGGCAGGGACGCGCCGTCGCTTTAAGAGCGTGACGGTCGCGTGTTTAACTTTTTCTTTCTTTTCCTCTCTCCCATAAGAGATGAGTAAATAAGACGAATTAATTATATAGCTTAGCAGGTTAAATCTCTTATAGTGGAACCAGTTTATTCGCATTTAAATTCCCGACTTCGCTCGTATTATGTAATCTGCTGACTTAGTAGTTGTGAGTGTATACATATATGTTTGTGGGTGTCAGTGTCTTTACTGTGGAAACGTCTCATCACCGGCCGGACCTTGTGACTCTGGTTCATGCTTCATGCGCACCGCAGGTCGGCCTCCGTTGAGTCTGATGGGCTGGCTGTTATTGAACCGTGCGAGACCGGCAAAAGAAACGAGCCAACCGTGCTCGGTACGAAACTTTTAGGTCTTCGTCATGCATCCACCGATCGAGCATATTTGCACTATGGCGCACCAGCAACGACCTTGACCTTGAGAGCTAGTACTGACTACGTGGAAATAAACACTCACTGCACATGACCTCAAAAACACTCACTGCACCATGAACAGCAAAAGATCATCGAGTCCTGTGAACAGCAAAAAAAAATTAGATATCTCAGATGTTGGATGCATATAGTGCATCGACATGTTATGAATCCACGGCTGGTGCCACGGCTACACATGGAGATTGTCTTTATTGATTTTTTTCTGGCAAGGGGGTCCATGTGAACCTTTTTTTTTCTTGCCCTTTCATTGCTCATCAATTTTTCTTTTTTCCTGCCTCTTGTATTCCTGGCAGTTACATACGTTTACCTTTATTCTGAGCGCTGAAAGTTATACGTGCGTTCACATTCCATTCATTTTCATAACATTTTTTTTAAAAAAAAAGGTTCAATGATATATTCATATCATCCAGCAGAAGAAATCTTGACCATTTGACTCCAGTATTATTCATCATACATACGTACTATATAAGCACAAGTACATGAGATAGCTAAAAAGCAGTCGTGCGTGGTGCATCGTTGCATCGTGGAGTTGTACACTTGTACTATCGTCCGTTTGGGTACGCCAACTTTTTCGTCACTGTACTGTACAC